CATAGGCCTATGAACAAATTCCACCTGTGCAGCGCGCGAAATGCACGCGAATGCTCGTGCACGGGGTGCTTCCCCATGGGGACACGAGCGACTCCGACCTGTGCAGCGCGCAGGGTGATCGCGGATGCTCGTGGGCGGGGTGCCATCGCCAGGGCCAATGAGCGAATGATGATGATGGTGATGCTGATGTTGATGCTGACGATGGTGATGGCGATGACGATAATGATGATGTGGCGGAGGGGGGAGATGGTGATGTCGTCATCCTCCCGCAATGCTCATATGTCACATCGCCAACATGGTCATCACCCGTCCCCCCACTCGCCTTGCAGACTTGATGGCGAGGGGTCGGATGAGGAGAGAGCGGTTAAGAAGCCGATGATGGTAATGGTGTTTGCGAGGCTGATGATGATGAGTGGCTGGGAAGGATGACGATGGGGAGCAGGAGGCTGCGGACGAGGAAGACGTCATCATCTTCCCTCTTCATGTTCATCGTCATCACCGTTGCCCTCACACGTCATCCCCCTACCCCTCCTCCTCCTGTCCACGCTTTCTTCCACTGTCGAGCAGGCTCCCTGACGATGGGGGAGGAGGAGGGCGCGATAATGATGGTGGTGGTGATCAGAGTAATGATGAAGATGATGCTGACGATGCTGCTGTTGAGGATGGTTGTGGTAATGATGGCGATGATGGTGATCATGATGATGATGCTAGCGATGCTGGCGATCATGCTGATTGGGGGTCGCGATGTTGCTGAGGAGGATGAGGATGACGAGGGCGTCATCAACATCATTCTCCTCATGTTCATCCTCGTCATCATGGCCCTCACCCGTCCTCCTCTTGCCCACCATCCTCCCGCCCATGTGGCGGGCAGGCAACATGACGTCGGGAGGAGGCGGGGGAGGGAGCGATGATGCTGCTGATGATGATGACGGCGATGATGATGACGACGATGATGGTAATGACGGTGAGGAGGATGAGGAGGATGAGGAGGCGGCTGGGGGGATATGATGATGACGATGTCAATGGCGATGATGCTGATGTACGAGATGACTACGCGGATAATGATGATGCGGTCGTCACCATCACCATCGTCATCGTTATCGTCCTCCTCACCCTCCCCATCATCATCATCGTCACCATCGGCATCATGATCCCCACCGCCCTCGCGCTACACGATCCCATCTTCATGTTTACTCATCCTTACCCTGTGCGAACAGGCTTCATGACGAGGGGTGATGGTGACGAGGATGATGATGAGAAGGAGGAAGGAGCGATGATGATGACGATGGCGATGATGACGACGACGACAAAAGGAATCCAGTTGTATGGCCGCCACAAAAAGGAACCCCTTCGTAAGGCCACAGAAGGAGTCCCTTCGTAAGGCCGCGAATCTTTTTTCGGGAGCCACCAACGGAAAATCAGGAAAACAAGGAAAAACAAAAAAAACAATGAAACCACACCGAAAAACAATGAAAAACAAAAGTTATAAGGACGCCACAATAGGAATCCCTTTGTAAGGCCGCCACAAAAATAATCCCTTTGTAAGGCCGCCACAAAAAGAATCCGATTGTAAAGCCGCCACAAAAGGAATCCTTTTGTAAGGCCGCCACAAAAGGAACACATGTGTAAGGCCTGTCACATATAGAATCCCTTTGTAAGGCCGCCATAAAGGCAATCCCTTTTGTAAAGCCGCCACAATAGGAATCCTTTTGTAAGGCCGCCACAAAAGAGGTCCCCTTGTAAGGCCGCCACAAGAGGAATCCCTTGGTAAAGCCGCCACAAAAGGAATCCTTTTGTAAGGCCGCCACAAAAGGAATCCTTTTGTAAGGCCGTTAATCTTTTTTCGGGAGCCACCAGCGGAAAACCAGAAAAACAAGGAAAAACAGGGAAAACACAACGAAAAACAACGAAAAACAGAGAAGTAAGGCCGCCACAAAAGGAATCCATTTGTAAGGCTGCCACCAAAGGAATCCTTTTGTAAGGCCGCCACAAAAGGAATCCCTTTGTAAGGCCGCCACAAAAGAAATTTCTGTATAAGGCCGCCACAAAGGGAATCCTTTTGTTAAAGACTGCCACAAAAGGAATCCTTTTGTAAAGCCGCCGCAAAAGGAATCCCTTCGTAAGGCCGCCACAAAAGGAATCCCTTTGCAAAGCCGCCACATAAGAAGTCCCTTTGCAAGGCCGCCACAAAAGAAATCCCTTTGTAAGGCCGCCACAAAAGGAATTCCTTTATAAGGCCGCCACAAAGGAAATCCTTGTGTAAAAGACTGCTACAAAAGGAATCCTTCTGTAAAGCCGCCACAAAAGGAATTCCTCTGTAGGGCCGCCACACAAGGAATCCCTTTGTAAGGCCGCCACAAAAGGAATCCCTTTGTAAGGCCGCCACAAAAGGAATCCATTTGTAATGCCGCCAAAAGAGAAACCCATTTGTAAAGCCGCCACAAAAGGAATCCCTGTGTAAGGCCGATAATCCTTTTTCGGAAGCCACCAGCGGAAAACCAGGAAAAAAAGGAAAAACAAGGAAAACAATGAAAACACAGCGAAAAACAAGGAAAAACAAAAAAAGACTGTGTTTTCATATGTTTTCGTTGATTGTCATTGTTTTTTGCTGTGTTTTCATAGGTTTTCGTTGGATTTCATTGTTTCGGGCTGTGTTTTCAGCGTCTTTTTATGTTTTTCCTTGTTTTTCGCTGTGTTTTCCTTGTTTTTCTTGTTTTTCTTGTTTTTCATTGTTTTCCTGGTTTTCCGTCAGTGGCTCCCGAACAAAAAAATGGCGGCCTTACAAAGGGATTCTTTTTGTGGCGGCCTTACAAAAGGATTCCTTTTGCGGCGGCTTTACAAATCGATTCCCTTTGTGGCGGCCTTACAATGCGGCGGCCTTGCAAAGGGATTCCTTTTGTGGCGGCCTTACAAGGGGATTTCTTATGTGGCGGCTTTACAAAGGGATTCCTTTTGTGGCGGCCTTACAAAAGGATTCCTTTTGCGGCGGCTTTACAAATCGATTCCCTTTGTGGCGGCCTTACAATGCGGCGGCCTTGCAAAGGGATTCCTTTTGTGGCGGCCTTACAAGGGGATTTCTTATGTGGCGGCTTTACAAAGGGATTCCTTTTGTGGCGGCCTTACAAAAGGATTCCTTTTGCGGCGGCTTTACAAATCGATTCCCTTTGTGGCGGCCTTATAAAGGAATTCCTTGTGTGGCGGCATTGCAAAGGGATTCCTTTGGTGGCGGCCTTACAAAAGGATTCCTTTTGTAGCAGCCTTACAAAGGGATTCCTTTTGTGGCGGCCTTAGTTCTCTGTTTTTCCTTGTTTTTCGTTGTGTGTTTTCCTTGTTTTTCCTTGTTTTCCTGGTTTTCCGCTGGTGGCTCCCGAAAAAGATTAACGGCCTTACAAAAGGATTCCTTTTGTGGCGGCCTTACAAAAGGATTCCTTTTGTAGCGGCTTTACAAAGGGATTCTTTGTGTGGCGGCCTTGCAAAGGGATTCCTTTTGTGGCGGCGTTACAAGAGAACACAACAAGAAACAAACTCGTTGGAGAGAGAGAGAGAGAGACGGAAACAGAGAAAGAGACGCAGAGGAAATTATATAATGATAACAGAAGAGTCTAACGCGTGTGAGGAAAAGAAACACGTAACAAATTAAGAACGAACCCAAGTCAAATAGGGTGAATTTTCTCCCTTTCCCCACCTCCCCCTCCAGCGGCCACCTCCTCCATCCACACCGTCCCCTCCAACCTCCCCTTACCCGCGAGGCCCCAGAGACGCTCCACTTCCACGTCCAAGCCATGGCGGGCAGATTCCGCGGCCGGAAGGCCTCGGGTCAGCCCTAGTCTCTACTACATTGCAGGGCCCAGTGCGTGCCAGAAGGGCGCAGGCCCCAATGCACCGAAACCGCCCCGGGCTGGCCCCGGGCCGCCCCGGGCCGCCCAGGCAGGCTCCAGGACATGTCGAGAGGGCCCCCAGAAGCCCCCAAGACGGCCCCGGAGAGCCCCGGCACGCTTAAAGATGGGCCCAAGACGCCCGAGATTCGCCCCAGACGGCCCAAGAAGCGTCCAAGACGCCCGAAGAGGCCTCCCAAGAGGCCTCCCAAGGGGGCCCCGAGCGACAGATATCGTCGATTTCTACTGTGTTTTTCGATGTTTTCGCCCTCCTCGCCTCTTCGGCTTCCCGACGCTCCAAGACGGCCCAAGAAGTCCCCCCGAACGCTCCAAGACGGCCGAAGAGGACCCCAAGAGAGCCCCAAGACGGGCCAGGAGGGCCCCCAGACGGTGCCCAGACGCCCCAGGACGGCCCCCGGACGGCCCAGGAGGCGCCCAAGACGGCCCAAGAGGCACCCAAGACGGCCCCAGGAGCTGCCCAAGACGGCCCAAGACAGTCCAAGAGGCGCCGAGGCGGGCCTCAGACGGCCCCAAGACGGCCCAAGAGGCACCCAAGACGGCCCGAGAGGGCCCTAAGAGCCCCCCCGGGAGGCCCAAAAGAAGGCCGAAGAGGCTCCGAAACGGCCCCCACGAAGCCTTCAGTGGCTTCAGAATTCCCTCCAGGAGCGGGGGAGCGGACGAGAGGCGACAGGCATATCGCAGGCAAAAACGCCCCAAGAGATCCCCAAACGGCCCCCACGAAGCCCTAAGTGGCTTCAGAATTGCTTCCAGGAGGGGGGGAGCGGACGAGAGGCGACCGGCATATCGAAGGCACAAAAGAACAATGTTGGACGCTGAGAGGGCCTTCGGTGTTTCTCTGTTGGGGGTCGTCGTCGTGGGATCGACGATTGCCGACCGAGGGCATGGAGAATCCAGCGAAAGAGGAGAAGAAGGTGGAAGAGGAGGAGGAGGAGGAGGAGGCGGAGGAGGAGGAGGAGGGGGAGGAAGCAGCAGGACCTCCGAAGCTGGAGCCCGACGCTATCATGATTGCCTTTCGGCCCTGCAGCCGCACCCCCTCGCGCTTGCCCAGAGACCCCTCGCCACGTCGAGCTGATGTCGTGGACGGAGTCCACAGGTCTGCCCTAGTCAGTTACAATGCTGGGATCAGCGCGTGCGGGAAGGGCGAGCAGTGGCAGCGGGCGCTGGCGCTGCTCATGCAGATGCGGGAGGCGAAGCTGGAGCCCGACGCCATCAGCTACAGCGCCGGGATCAGCGCGTGCGATAAGGGCGAACATTGGCAACGGGCGCTGGCAGTATTCAGAGAGATGCTGGAGGCGGAGCTGGAGCCCAACGTCGTCTATACTACAATGCAGGGACCCGCGCGTGCGAGAAGGGCGATTTTGGTCAAAAAGCGTAGCAGGCCCAAGACACGCCAAGAGGGCCCCCAGAGGGCCCAAGACGCGCCAAGAGGGACTCAAGAGGCCCCCAAGAGGGCCCCAGAAGGCTCCGGGACGCCCCAAGATGGGCCCAAGACGCCGAAGATTGGGTCAAGACGGCCCCAGAGGCGGCCAAAATGCCCCAAGAGGCCTCCCAAGAGGCTTCCCAGCAGGGCCCCGAGCGGGAGAAATCGTCGACTTCCATTGTGTTTTTCAATGTTTTTCGCATTCTCCCTTTTTCGCCGTCCTTGCGCTCCAAGACGGCACAAGAGGTCCCCAAGACCGCTCCAAGACCACCGACGAGGCCCGCAAGAGAGCCTCAAGACGGGCCAAGAGGACCCCCAGACGGTCCCAAGACGCCCAAGACAGCCCAAGACGGCCCCCCAAGACAGCCCCAGAGGGCCCCGAGACGCCCCAAGATAGGCCCAGGACGCGCCAAGAGGGCCCCAAGAGGCCCCCAAGACGGCCCCAGAGGGCTCCGGGACGCCCCAAGATGGGCCCAAGACGCCGAAGATTGGGCCAAGACGGCCCCAGAGGCGGCCAAAATGCCCCAAGAGGCTTCCCAGAGGCGGCCAAAATGCCCCAAGAGGCTTCCCAAGAGGCTTCCCAGCAGGGCCCCGAGCGGGAGAAATCGTCGACTTCCATTGTGTTTTTCGATGTTTCTCGCATTCTCCCCTTTTCGCCATCCCTGCGCTCCAAGACGGCCCAAGAGGTCCCCAAGTCCGCTCCAAGACCACCGGCGAGGCCCGCAAGAGGGCCTCCAGACGGGCCAAGAGGGCCCCCAGACGGTCCCAAGACGCCCCAAGACAGCCCAAGACGGCCCCAGAACGCCCCGGGACGCCCCAAGATGGGCCCAAGACGCGCCAAGAGGGCCCCAAGAGGCCCCCCAGACGGCCCCAGAGGCCTCCGGGACGCCCCAAGATGGACCCGAGAGCCATATTGGACCGTCTTGGCCATTCGCGCCGCTCGGACCCCCGACATCTTGGGCAGCATTCGCCGTTCTCACCGCTCTGAACGCCATCTTGAGCCATCTTGGCCATTCGCACCGCTCGGGCGCCCCGACGAATCCACGCTCTCCTCCAGGCATCTTGCCATCACCTCGGAGCCTTCGCCTTCCAGAGCCTCGCGGGCTCAAACGGCCCAGCTGTCAGCCACGCGTGCAACCCACCGGAGCCGTCACGACACGAAAACGTCACCATGCCATGTCAAGTGGCCCCCAAAGGGGTCTGCAGGCATTTTTTCTTAGAAAAATGGTCCGCAGGGCCCTTTGGCGCCCAGAGCGAGCCTACAGTAAGCGATAGTGGCCCTCGGAGGCCCTCTGAGAGCCATCTTGGACCGTCTTGGCCATTCGCGCCGCTCGGACCCCCGACATCTTGGGCAGCATTTGCCGTTCTCACCGCTCTGAACGCCATCTTGAGCCATCTTGGCCATTCGCACCGCTCGGGCGCCCCGTCGAATCCACGCTCTCCTCCAGGCATCTTGCCATCACCTCGGAGCCTTCGCCTTCCAGAGCCTCGCGGGCTCAAACGGCCCAGCTGTCATACATGGCCACGTCCGGTGCCCCCCCCCCAGGAGCCCGTTCCTCCGAGAATCATTCCAGAAAGATATCGTGGACGGAGTCCACGGGTCAGCCCTAGTCAGCTACAATGCTGGGATCAGCGCGTGCGAGAAGGGCGAGCAGTGGCAGCGGGCGCTGGCGCTGCTGAGCGAGATGAAGGAGGCGGCGCTGGAGCCCAACGTCATCTGTACTACAATTCCGGGCGAAACGCGCGCGAGAAGTACAAGCAGTGGCAGCGCCCCAGGCCTCCCAGAGAGCTCGCGGGCCGCCCGGAGAGCCTCCGGGCCGCTGCCCGACGGGCCTGGGAGGCCCCCGGACCGCTCGCGGACTGATCCAGGATTCCCAGATCGCCCCCAGACGGCAAGACCGCCCAAGAGGCCTTCAAGAGGGCCCCAAGACGGCCCAAGAGGGCCTCAAGACGGCCCAAGAGTCGCCCAAGACGGCCCAAGAGGGCCCCAAGAAGGCCCCAAGGGAGGCCCAAGACAGGGACCCGGAACTGAAAAATCCAGGCCTCCACCCCAAGAGGCCCTCAGGAAGCCCCAAGACGCCCCAAAGAAACGCTGGGACGCTCCCAAGACTTCCCCAGGAGGCCCCCGGACACCCCAAAGAGGCTCCAAGAGGCCCCCCAGAGGCCGCCAACCGCCCCAAAAGGCTCCCAGAGGCCCCAAAAGAGGACCCAAGAGGCCCCAAGACGCCCCCAAACTGCTAATCTCCAAGAAGCCCCCAAACTGTCTCCCAGAGGCTCCCGAGAGGCCAACCACGAGATCCCAACCAACATCCACGAGATCTCTTGCCCATTACCCAGGCCCGCGGCGAGATTGCCCGCAGGCCACTACAGTCGGTTCGGGGGCCCTACGTATCCCAGCACCCGCACCCTTGGCTGCATCGATGCAGGACCCTGGGGGGCCGAAGCCTCGGGAAACTCAGATCGTCTTGGGCGGTGTCCAAGGCCTTGGGGTACGTGTGGGGGCCAATCCTGGCGCAGTGGAATGGCCAGAACTTTCGGATTTTCGCCAATCGCGGAGAGGCCGGGCGCGATTAGCGAAAACCCGATGCTTTTTGAGACCTCCACGCCCGGCCTTAATCGGTTACGATAGCCCTCTTGGGTCGGGCGCCTCGTGGGGCGGCTTGGGGCAATCTTGGGTGTGTGAGGCCGTCTCGGACCTCGCGTTGGGCTCCCGTGGGCGGCATCTGCGGCTGTGCTGGGCCCTGCTGGGGGTCACTTGAGGCTTCGGCGACACGTGCGAGTTCGGGACCAACGCCTGGACCTGCGGGCCGTGGATTTTCCACGGGTTCACACTAGTCTATACTATATGGCCGGAGGAACCGCGTGCCGGAAGGAAATCCAGCCAAATGACTAGAAATGGCTCCGAGACGCTCCGGAGGCCGCCCCGACGGCCCAAAGACGGCTCCGAGCCGCTCAAGATGCCCCGAAGGCGGCCCAAGAGGGCCCCGAGAGGCGCAATGATCCGGCCAAGACGCCCAAGATTGGCCCAAGACGGCCCAAAAGCTCCCCAAGACGGCCCAATAGGCCTCCCAAGAGGCATCCCAGGAGAGGCCCGAGAGGCCAAAATCGTTGATTGCCATTGGTTTTCCCGAGGTTTTTTGCTTCCTCGCTTTTTCGGCTTCCCGACGCTCCGAAACCCTCCCAGAGGCATCCAAGACCGCTCCAAGACGGTCGAAGAGGTCCCCAAGAGGACCCCAAGACGGTCCAAGAGGGCCCCAAGACGGTCCAAGGCGGCCCCAGGACGGCCCCAGAGGCGCCCAAGACAGGCCACCGGGACCCCAAGATGGCCCGAAGAGCGGCCCAAGATGGCTCCAAGACGGCCCGAGGACCGCCCAAGAAGGCCCTAGGGGGCCCCAAGACAGCCCAAGGGGCGCGATAGACGGGCCCAGAGAGGCCCAAGAGGCCCCCAGGAGCCCAAAAGAGGTCCCCAAGAGGTGCCACGGGGCTTAAAAACTGCTTCGAAGCGAGGGGGGCGGACGAGGGGACCGCCTCATGAGGTTTTGGACGGTTTTGGGCCTCAAAATCATATGCTTTACGACGGTTTTGGAAGGAGGTCCCCAAGAGGACCCCAAGACGGTCCAAGAGAGCTCCAAGACGGTCCAAGGCGGCCCCAGGACGGCCCCAGAGGCGCCCAAGACAGGCCACCGGGACCCCAAGATGGCCCGAAGAGCGGCCCAAGATGGCTCCAAGACGTCCCGAGGACCGCCCAAGAAGGCCCTAGGGGGCCCCAAGACAGCCCAAGGGGCGCGATAGACGGGCCCAGAGAGGCCCAAGAGGCCCCCAGGAGCCCAAAAGAGGTCCCCAAGAGGTGCCACGGGGCTTAAAAACTGCTTCGAAGCGAGGGGGGCGGACGAGGGGACCGCCTCAGGAGGTTTTGGACGGTTTTGGGCCTCAAAATCGTCCGCTTTACGACGGTTTTGGAAGGATTTTGGCCTTCTCGCCTTTTCCGCTTTCCGACGCTCGAAGACGGCCCAAGAGGCCTCCAAGAGCGCCCCAGAACGGCCCAAGAGGTTTCCAAGAGCGCCCCAAGACAGCCCAAGAGGGCCCCAAGACGACCCAAGAGACGCTCAAGACGGCCCACGAGGGCCCGAAGACAGGCCCAAGAGGGGGCCAAGAGGGGGACCACGGACCGAAAATCCGAGCCTTCCGCCCCAAGAGGGCGCCAGGAGGCCCAAACAGGCCCCCAAGAGGCCCCAAGGGGCCGCCAAGAATCCCCCGAAGAGGCCCCAGGAGGCTCCCAAGGAGCCCAAACGAGGCCCCTACAGAGGCCCCAACAGCTTCCAAAATGGCCCCGAAGAGGCCTCGAGCCCGCCTCCGAGCTTCCTCGCCGCGAGGGTGCCAACACGGCCCCAGACCGGCCCAGGACGGCCCAAGGCGCGCTCAAGACGGCCCAAGACGATTCCAAGACGGTCCCAGGAGGGTGCGCCCAGGACGGCCCAAGGACGCGCCCGTTCGGGGCCTCAAGACCGGCCAAGATGGCAAGAGAGCTCCAGCTGGCAAAATCGTCAATTTTCCATGGTTTACTGTTACACCCCTTGCGTTTCCCGCTGTTTCGGCGGTCCGATGCACCAAGAGGCCCCAGAAAGTCCCAGGAGGGTCCGAGGAACCGCCCAGGAAGGCCCCAAGACGGGCCAAGACGGACCCAACACAACCCAAGGCGCGCTGCGACGGCTCAAGACGGCTCCAAGACAGCCCCAAGAGGGTGCCAACACGGCCCCTGCTGGGCCCAGGACGGCCCAAGGAGGCGCACAGGAGGGGCCCAAGACGACTCCAAGGCGGCCTCCTCACGGTCCCAGACGGCTCCAAGACAGCCCCACGAGGACCCCGATGGGCCCAGGACGGCCTACGGACGCGCCCATGAGGGGCCCACGACGAACCAAGACGGCCCCATCAGGGCAAACGGCGCCCTCAAGACGGGCCTAGACGGCTCCAAGACGGCCCTTTGAGGGAGCCAACGCGGCCCCACACCCTTCGGGCGCACACTTGGGGGGGCTGGGAGCTTGCGACAAGTCTCCCACATTCATTGTCCTGCCCCATTCTGTTCGCCTGGAGGCCTCCTCCAACCCTGTGGGCGAACAAGAGGAATCCCAGCGGGACGCCAACCCTGGGGCCCGTGGGCCCCGCGCCGCTTGGGCAGAAGACGAACGCCGGGTCTGACAGGCCAGCTACCGCCCCCCTTTGCCCGATATGCTGTGCCATTCTGTTCCCCCAGGGGCCTTGGCAAACTCTTCGGGCCAAGCAGACCGGACCCCTGGGACAGCAGCCAATTGATATGACCCTGGGACCTCTCCGCATTCTTCGGACGAGCATCTGGGGGGCCCAGGAGATTCGGACATGTCTTCCCCATTCCTTGCCCTGTCCCGTTCTGTTCGCCCGAAGGCCTCCACAGACCCTCTGGGCGAACAGAATGGGACATGGCGAACAAACCCTCCCGTTGGCGGTGATGCGACTGGATCGCACCATCAAGGCGCGCCCGGAGGTGATGGCCGACCCAACAGCGGTTTCTCTTAAGAGTTCACTGGATTTCGAATTTTCTTGAAGCTCTCTTGGGCCCTCCCTGTAGATCCTTGCGAGCCTCCCCGGCGCTTTCGGTGGCTTTCCCCGATGGCCTCCCGAGCCCTTCCCCGAGCGCTCCTGAGACGCCTCAGATGGGCTTCGACTTCGACGCACATCCCCGAGAGACTTCGAAACTGTCCTCAATAGGAGGGGGGTGAACGAGCAGTGCGCTGGGCCAAGCTGCTGCAGCGCTGCAAGAGCTCGGACACGAAGGCGCGGTCTCGCTGCCGCCGCCCGAGCCGCTGCCGTGTTTGTAGATTTTCGGTACAATCTGCGCCGTTCCTCCGAGAACCATTCCAGAAAGATGTCGTGGACGGAGTCCACGGGTCAGCCCTAGTCTTTTCTACAATGCAGGGACCCGTGCGTGCGGGAAGTGTCCCTGTCTTGATGGGCGTAAAATGCCCCACAACGGCTCCGGGGACGCCCCAGAGGCGCTCACGCGGCCCCAGAGGCGCCCAGGACGGCCCCAGACACCCCCAAAACGGCCCAAGAGCGCTCCGGACCGCCGAAAACGGCCCCGACAAGGCCCAGGAGGCCTCCACGACGGCCCCAGAGACGCTCAAGAGGCGTCCCAGGATGGCCCCCACAGGTCCAAATCATTGCTTTTCCAACGAAAAACGTCCAATTTTAGCACACACTGCTTGTCGGGAGTATGGCGCAGAAGATGGGAGAAGAGGCCCCCACGACCGCCCCAAGACGGCCCAAGAGCGCTCCAGACCGCCGAAAACGGCCCCGACAAGGCCCAGGAGGCTTCCACGACGGCCCCAGAGACGCTCAAGAGGCGTCCCAGGATGGCCCCCACAGGTCCAAATCATTGCTTCTCCAACGAAAAACGTCCAATTTTAGCACACACACACACACACACACACTGCTTGTCGGGAGTATGGCGCAGAAGATGGGAGAAGAGGCCCCCACGACCGCCCCAAGACGGCCCAAGAGGCCCCCCAGAGGCACGAAAACCGGCCCGCGAGAGCGTCCAGAGACCCAAGAGGCGCCCAACACGGCCCCCAGGCGGCCCCAAGAGGCTCCCAGGAGGCGCCCAGGACGGCCCCAGACACCCCCAAGAGCGCTCCAAGAGAGCCCAAGACCGCCGAAAACACACCCAAGACGGCCCAGGAGGCCTCCACGACGGCCCCAGAGACGCCCAAGAGGCGTCCAAGGATGGCCTCCAGAGGCGAAAATCATTGTTTTCCCGAAGAAAAACGCTCACTTCCAGCATGCGCTGCTTCACTGGAATATGGCGCAGAAGCTGGTACCAGGTCCCCACGACTGCCCCAAGACGGCCCAAGAGGCCCCCAAGACGCACGAAACCGGCCCGAGAGGGCGTCAAGAGAGCCCAAGAGGCGCCCACAACGGCCCCAGGGTGACACCAAGAGGCGCCCAGGACGGCCCCAGGTCTCCCCAAGACGCTCCAAGAGCGCTCCACGACAAGCCAAGACTGCCTTTTGCGGCGCCAGGACGGCCCAAGACGCCTCTACGACGGCCCAAGAGACGCCGAAGAGGCTTCCCAGGAGGGCCCCAGGAGGGCCCCGAGACGGCCCAAGACGCACCCAAGCCAGCCCCAAGAGCAGTTAACAATGGCCCAAGACGGCCCCACCGCCCCGTCTCCAAGACGGCTGTAGATGCCCCCACCTCCCCGTCTCCAAGCCTTTCCGTTTGGACAGTCTCCAAGACGGTCTTTGGGCCGTCAGGGACGGCTCCAGAGGCGCCCGAGACGGCTCAAGAAACACCGAAGACAACCCTAAGAGCGCCCAATATTTGCCCAAGATAGCTCCAAGACTGTCCCAAGATGCCGAGAGGCGCCCAAGACGGCCCCACATCGCCCCAAGACGGCCCAAGACGCACTCAAGATTGCCCAAGAGGGCTTCAAGAGACCCCCAGGAGGACGAAAAGGGCCCCCAAGCGGCCCCCAAGAGGCGTTGGATGCTTCTCTCTTGGGGAGCGTCGAACTTCCAGTATCGTCTTGGGGGCTTCTTGGACCCACTGCGAGCCATCTCTGCGCCATTTGGGGACGTCTTGGGGTGGTGCGCTCGAAAGGTCGATTCGTGTCCTCGCACTGGGGCCATTTGGGGACGTCTTAGGGAGTTACGTCTCGCCGCCCTCTTTCGGGCCTCTTAGGCCGCGCCCACTGGCCCCATTGTCACCACACTACCACATCAAATTATCATTCGGCCCCGGCGAAGAGCAGATAACTTCTCACGGCTGCCCTCCCCGCAGAAGCTATGACGAACACCGATTGCGGCGTCAGAAAGAGCTGTCATGCCTACATGGGTGCGCTTCCATTGACACCGCCTCCACCACCGCGTTCCTGCCTTCAGGCCTGGTTGCCTGCATCCCTCGCCCACCTCCCCCTCCAGCGGCCACCTCCTCCATCCACACCGTCCCCTCCAACCTCCCCTTACCCGCGAGGCCCCAGAGACGCTCCACTCCCACGTCCAAGCCATGGCGGGCAGATTCCGCGGCCGGAAGGCCGCGGGTCAGCCCTAGTCTCTACTACATTGCAGGGCCCAGTGCGTGCCAGAATGGCGCAGGCCCCAATGCACCGAAACCGCCCCGGGCTGGCCCCGGGCCGCCCCGGGCCGCCCAGGCAGGCTCCAGGACATGTCGAGAGGGCCCCCAGAAGCCCCCAAGACGGCCCCGGAGAGCCCCGGCACGCTTAAAGACGGGCCCAAGACGCCCGAGATTCGCCCCAGACGGCCCAAGAGGCGTCCAAGAGGCCCGAAGAGGCCTCCCAAGAGGCCTCCCAAGAGGGCCCCGAGCGACAGAAATCGTTGATTTCTAGTGTGTTTTTCGATGTTTTCGGCCTCCTCGCCTCTTCGGCTTCCCGACGCTCCAAGACGGCCCAAGAAGTCCCCCCGACCGCTCCAAGACGGCCGAAGAGGACCCCAAGAGAGCCCCAAGACGGGCCAGGAGGGCCCCAAGACGGTCCCAAGACGCCCCAGGACGGCCCCAGGACGGCCCAGGAGGCGCCCAAGACGGCCCAAGAGGCACCCAAGACGGCCCCAGGAGCGGCCCAAGACGGCCCAAGACAGCCCAAAAGGCGCCGAGGCGGGCCTCAGACGGCCCCAAGACGGCCCAAGAGGCACCCAAGACGGCCCGAGAGGGCCCTAAGACCCCCCCGGGAGGCCCAAAAGAAGGCCGAAGAGGTTCCGAAACGGCCCCCACGAAGCCTTCAGTGGCTTCAGAATTCCCTCCAGGAGCGGGGGAGCGGACGAGAGGCGACAGGCATATCGCAGGCAAAAACGCCCCAAGAGATCCCCAAACGGCCCCCACGAAGCCCTACGTGGCCTCAGAATTGCTTCCAGGAGGGGGGGAGCGGACGAGAGGCGACCGGCATATCGAAGGCACAAAAGAACAATGTTGGACGCTCCGAGGGCCTTCGATGTTTCTCTGTTGGGGAGAGTCGTCGTAGGATCGACGATTGCCGACCGAGGGCATGGAGAATCCAGCGAAAGAGGAGAAGAAGGTGGAGGAGGAGGAGGAGGAGGAGGAGGCGGAGGAGGAGGAGGAGGAGGGGGAGGAAGCAGCAGGACCTCCGAGCAGCAGCAGCAGCTGAGGAACACAGGAGAGCAGGAGGTCCTGGAGGGTGTGGAGAGCGCCTTCAACTGGCCACGTCGAGCTGATGTCGTGGACGGAGTCCACAGGTCTGCACTAGTCAGCTATAATGCTGGGATCAGCGCGTGCGAGAAGGGCGAGCAGTGGCAGCGGGCGCTGGCGATGTTGAGCGAGATGTGGGAAGTGATGCTAGAGCCCAACGTCATCAGCTACAGCGCTGGGATCAGCGCGTCCGCGAGGGGCAAGCAGTGGCAGCGGGCGCTGGCGTTGCTGAGGGAGATGCGGGAGGCGAAGTTGCAGCCCAACGTCATGAGCTACGGCGCTGGGATCAGTGCGTGCGAGATTGACGTGCAGTGGCAGCGGGCACTGGCGCTGCTCTGCGAGATGCGGGAGGCGCTGGAGCCTGACGTCGTCAGCTACAGCGCGGGGATCAGTGCGTGCGGGAAGGGTGAGCAGTGGCAGCAGGCACTTGCACTGCTCAGCGGGATGTGCGAGGTGAAGCTGGAGCCCAACGTCATCAGCTACTGCGCTGGGATCAGCGCGTGCGAGAGAGGCGGGGAGTGGCAGCGGGCTCTGGCGCTCCTGACGGAGGCGCGGGAGGCGAAGCTCGAGCCTGACGTCGTCAGCTACACCGTTGCGATCAGCGCGTGCGAGATAGCCAACTGTGTTGGCCCGGGGGGCTGGCTCCTCGCTGGGTAGAGGCGCGATCTCTGTGTCGACGGCAGCATGGGCGTTCTCTGCAAGCAAAAAAATCCTTCTCCTCTCCTCCTCCCTCCTCCCTCCTCCTCCTCCTCCTCCTCCTCCTCCTCTCCTCCTCTCCTCCTCCTCCTCCTCCTCCTCCTCCTCCTCCTCCTCCTCCTCCTCCTCCTCCTCCTCTCCTCCTCCTCCTCCTCCTCGTCCTCCTCCTCCTCCTCCTCCTCCTCCTCCTCCTCCTCCTCTTCCCCCCCCATTCCTGGCCCAGACGGTTCAGCTTCAAGAATGGGCATCGTTTCGATCCCTGCCTGTCTGACTCACGCCTCACTCCATCTTCGGCGAGCTGTCTGGCGAGAGCGGGACTGCAGCGGGCCATGGTCAGCCCATCGTCAAGGTCGGTTCTCACCTCCTGCGCCGACTCAAACCTCCAAGATAGACCCTTCAACATAAGGAGCGCCACATCAGCTGGAACGGCGGCAACCGATGGCCTGGCTAAGGGCGAGCATCTCACCTGGGCTACCTCGAGGGCCTTCTTGAGCACCCGAGCTCCACTGGTGCACCACCGAGCCAACAGTGATAACCCAGGCCCTTGCTGTGCAGTCCTGCCCCTGGGTCTTTCATCTTTTTTGGTCTGGCCTCGGCTGGTCTTTTATTTTTTTCATCACGCAGAGCCAGCGGTCTGCAGACGCTCAGGCTCGCGGCGCACGCCTGGAGCAGCTTCGCCGGGCAGGCGCGTCCACCGCGCTGGCCCAAGAGCGATGGCATTGTGGAGCACCGCGATCCAGGGCGTGCCGAATGGCAAGCTCAAATGGCTGCGGGCTGCCGCGCTCCGCGCCGAGGGGCCCCACGGGACCTTTTACCCTGTGGTCTTTGCACCGCCTGCGGGGCCTGAGGGCCTTTCTTTCCGGAGCGTGGTGGCCCCAGGCCCGCTTGTGCAAACACGGCCTGTCCGAGAGTCCAAGCTGCCCCTTCTGTGGCGACCGCGATTCCTCCTCCTCCTCCTCCTCCTCCTCCTCCTCCTCCTCCTCCTCCTCCTCCTCCTCCTCCTCCGCCTGGCACGGGTGTCATGAGTGCGACGCGCACGGTGTGCTCAGGAGGGACCGACCGAGTTCCGCGGGGCCCCATGCAGAGGGCATGCAGGGCTCAGGCCTGGTCTCTCGAAGTTTGGGAATGTTTTGCGCGAGGGATGTTCCCTGACCCTCGCCCGCCGTTCGAGGAGGCCCCCGGGCGCTCCAGCCAGAATCAGCAAAAATAATGCTCCGGTGCCAGCGGCCCGAGCCGGGCTGCCTCTCGGGAGTGTCGCTCCTGGACGGGCCCGCGGTGCTTCCTGGCTCCCTGCTGCTCTCACGTGCTGGGCTGGTCAGTGGCGACGTGTGACCGCCTGGGCCAAGTGCAGGCGCCGCGGCGTACGGACCAGTGGAGGAGGAGGAGGAGGAGGAAGAGAAGGAGGAGGAGGAGGAGGAGGAGGAGGAGGGAAGACGGAGGAGGAGGAGGAGGAGGAGGAGGAGGAGGAGTGCAGCGCCCTATCAGACGGCTCGAGATGCGGAGGGTAATTGCTGTCAGCATGCTGCGTCCCGTGGCTGGTGCCTCCCTTCCAGCTGCACAGCGATGGCAGAGGCATGGCCTCTACGCCGTGGGCGGGCCCTGGATAGGGGGCCTCTGGCATCGGGAACCCCGGGGCCGACTGGTGGCTCAAGTATTGGGCGGCGTTCGAGCCGACCGACCTCGAGACCCACAGAATGAACGCCCATTGCTAGGGGAACAAAGAGTGGCATAAGCATAAAAACTCGGAGGTCCGCGCGGATTTCTCGGATCGGCGCTGGGGGCCCCCGGCGGCGCCTCCGGCGCCGCCCCTGGCGCGCTCCGCGCGCCAGGGAGGGGGGTCCAGCGCCGATCCGAGAAATCCGCGCGGACCTCCGAATTTTCATGTTTATGCCACCTCTTGTTCCCCTAATTGCAGCTTAGCAGATGTACGGAATGATGTTACCACCCTCTGGGAGAAGAGAGGGAACGGTGCTGCTGACGAATCTGTGAAGCGAGGAGCCATGCTGCACGGAGTGCGTGAGACGGACTACCAGCGTCGGTGAGGCCTTGTCGAGCTGGCACGAGAGGCCGCCGGGTGGAGCGAAGATCTGCGCACGCTTTGGTTGGGGACGGGATGGAGGCGACTGATCCTGCTGATCCAATGGAGGCCTTCGTCGGCCAGCGAGAGGCGGCGAAAGCATCCCGCCTGGCCGAGTTCAGTCCTCCCCCCTCGCCTGCCGCCGCGCCCTCTGGACCATCGGAGGCTCCCGCCCCAAGCCTCTCCGAAGCCCAGTCCCAGGACCCCGCCGAAGGGCGGGAGGCTTCCAGGGCTGTGGGGCACAACTTTGGCGGCCACCCCCTCTCGCACGCGCGCGCGACGGCGAGGTAGGGCCGGGAGGACGGTTCGGCCCGAAGCGTTTGCTGTGCCCCGTGGAGCGCTTTTCTCTGGGCACAGGTTCCGTTGCATCTTCGGCTGATCTCGCCTGTCCCAAAAATGGGTGTCTTTTTGGGGGACCCGACGCGGGCTCGATGCGGACTCGACGCGGATTTGGCGTGGATTTGACGCGGATTCGACACGGATTCGACACGGATCCGACGCGTCCGACATGGATTCGACGTGGATTCGACGCGGACAGGGCCGCGACGGGACAGACAAGGTCCCCCGAGGATGGGGTTGGTTTTTTGAAGATTGTGAGAGATTTGACAGTTCTTTTTAGAAAAACCGATTATTATTCTTTGTAGTGGACCATGGCGCGTTTTGTTGTGAAAGTCCAAGGACTGGAGCCAAAAATGCAGATATGTTTCCCGTATGCTGGAAGCGCAAATGCCAAGGCAGCCCCCCCATATGCAAATATTTTTTACACAAAAAACGCACAAACGCAACAATGATAATAGAGACATACACACACAAAAGTCACCGCTTGTTTCGGCATACAAAACCATATTCAAAACGGGCACTACGAAACCGAAACCAATGACAATGAAACCGAAACTTGAAACGGCGAAACCGAAACCTCACAAGAAAACCGAAATTCGAAAGCGAAACCGGATCCCATACTGCCAGCTTGTAACAAGCCAACGGCCAATTCTCCATTGGCTTCGCTGGCAAACATTGCGAAGAGGATGTGAAGTCGCCTTTTAAAATATATGTCTGTAGCCGGAGGCGCCGACAAAAAGGAGATGCATCTTCGACCCAAGAAGAGGATGCTGATATAAAAGCGAAGCAACAAAAAAAATCTCGCTTACGGCTGTACGGTCCCGCTTTCCCTCCCCTGATATGTATGAATATGGTCAATGCTTGCTTGTGCCCGAAACCTTCAGCGCCGAAACCTGGGCCTCCGACGTCTTGCTTTGGCCCCAGATGGCCGCCGTCGTCGCTCCAGGGGGTGGCCGTGGCATCAGACTGCTCGATGGTGTGAATCTCAAGGCTGGCGGAAGCGGATGGCAGGGTCCCGGATGCTCTCTTCCACTTCCTCGATGTTGGTGGTGACAGTGCCACTCATCTCGTTGGGACGCCGTTCGGGGCTGTTGATGGTGTTGCGGCTCGGTTGCGCCTGCTTGCGTATCGCGTGAACGATTTGATCCAAGGTAGGTGGACAGGGACATTCATGCTCCTGTCGAACGGGTCCTCTTGCTGCTGGTTGCGCCTCCGGTGGAGTCGAAGGGGTTGCAAGTGCGTGCACCTCAGGGCCGTCGTTGCTATCCATTTCATTTGGTGGGCTGATCAAGCGTCTGCGCAAAGCACTCCCCCTCTCATTTCTTATTGGCGTACTTGGAGCCTGGGTGGGCGCACGTGGAGGGCCACCACGTTCGGCGACCGAAGGAGAAGAGCTCGAGGCCATGGCGGAAAGGAGTACAAAAGGATGTGGCGGCAACGAGTGTAGGTAAAAAACCTCCTCGAGACGGCAGCGACCGTTTCAGTAACGCGCAAGCGTTTCAGTAACCAAAACAGCGTTTCAGTAACCACCCCCGTCTGCTTCAGTAACCAAAACAAGCGTTTCAGTAACTGCCCCCGCCCGTTTCAGTATCCAAAACAAGCGTTTCAGTAACCGCCCCCGCCCGTTTCAGTAACCGAAACAAGCGTTTCAGCAAACATCACCTTCCCGTTCCCCCATTTCAGTAACAAAAAACGCTTCAGCAACCGATCCGGGGCGCTCCCGATGCTGTCGGGAGGGCGGTTGGCCAGTCGTCGGTGATGGGTTCGCTGGCTGATGTCAAAAGCTGTGGAATGCCCGTTCGGGCGTCTCATGTTCTCCCTCTTGGGGCCGTCTCGGGGCGCTCTTGGGCCATCTTGGGCGCTCTTTGGGCCGTCCGGTCCCAAGACGGAGGGGCGAGAAGAAGGATGTGGATGAGAGGGAGGACGAGGATGAGGAGGAGGAAAGGTGGAGGAAGAAGTGCGAGTAGGAGGAGGAGGAGGAGGGGTGATAAGGAGGAGGCGGAGAAACGAGGGGGAGGAGGAGGAAGGGGAATGATAAAGACGAATATTAAAATATTTATTTTCACTGCACGGTGGGCGGATTCCCTTGACGCGGAGTGTGGCGCAGCGCGGGTCACACCGCATCAAATGCAATATGGAACATGGATGCGGCCATTTCTTTGCGAGAAGCGCTGCACGCAGCGCGCGCGCAGCACACGTAGCGTAAAGTACAGTATGAAGGCGGTCAGCTATGCTTGCTGCCGCTGGATACGTGCAGCGCCCGGCGCGCAGGAAATACCGCCGCGGATATGCAAGGTGGCATGTGCACAAACTGCTGCATCCTACAGCCAGCTCCCTTCGTCGTCGTCATCTTGGATCCGCTGCTGGCTCGAGGGGTCGTCCTTGTTGGGCTGAGGAGTTGTGAAAGATGGGAGGAGGCGGAGAAGGAAGCGGGAGGGGAGAGGGAGGAGGAATTGAGTAAATGGGGTCGGGGTTGTTTGATGACCATTAATGTCCTCGATCGCCAGCTCCATGCGCAGGGCATCCGAATCTGAGTCTATGTTGATGGGATCCAAGGCGGATTCCGCCGCCAATTTTGGGTCGCAAACCGAAT